AGGTGTTTGAAGTATTTGCCTTTTGAAAATAGTTCTTTGTATCTGATTATTTGTAAATAATTTTTTGAGACTGTAAGTACCAAGAGTTGAACTTGTGCCCTGCCAAATTTGAAGTCAGAGTCAGTGTTAATTATCCAACTGACCTAAACCCGTGCTTTAATTTTGTGTTCTTACTTAGAGGTTTGTTAATTTATTCTGAAAGTTCATTAACAAATTCAGATATTGTATTATATTAGAACGAAATCATAAGCCAGCTGTAGAATAATTGAAATAATTAATTATAGTTAGTTTTAACTGTTAATCTATAATAATAAGTTCCTTCTATATTAGGTAAATATTTTAAGTTAAATAAAATTAAATTTTTTTTCTTAATTATCATTAATTAATTATCAAAATAGAAAATAATTTAAACAAAAAGTTTTACGATTTAAAAACGTATTTTTGCCATAGAGAGCCACTTAACAAATTGCAACAACATAGCCTAATGTTATCCTTCTACATTGTATAATATTCTCTAAAAATTTCTTCAAGCTCGTTTGAATAGCTTCTGATTGCAAAGGAAAATCTTATTAAATAAAATTTCATATCGATATAAATGTGATACAAAGTATAGACGTAAATATGTATTTTTTTGGAATTCAGTTTATTTATGCATTTTAATTATTCTTTAGGTAATTGGTGGCTTCATGTCAAATGTTATTAAAAACCAAAGATGAGTGAAATCTCGGAAAAAATTCGATATGTCTTGCAATTTTACTTTGATAACAGGTGGAACGCGTCGAAGGCGTGTGAAAAAATTTGTGCTGTATACGGTGACGATGCTCTTTCGCAATCAACTGCCAGAAAATGGTTCGCACGGTTTCGTTCGGGAAATTTAGATGTGAAGAATGCTCCTCGCTCTGGTCGACCTATCACAGATAAGGTCGATGAAATTATGGAAAAAGTTCAAATAGACCGACATATAAGCAGTCATGACATCGCTAGGGAATTAAAGATCAATCACAATACTGTTCTAAACCATTTACACAAAGCTGGTTATAAAAAGAAAATCGATGTCTGGGTGCCCCATGAACTGAGTGAAAAAAGTTTAATAAACCGAATTTCTATATGCGAATCACTGTTGAAGCGGAACGAAATTGAGCCATTTTTGAATCGAATGATAGTAAGCGATGAAAAGTGGATCACATATGATACACGTAAACGTTCTTGGTCAGAAACAGATGAAAGAGGAACATTACCAAAGCCAGAATTGACGAAAAAGAAGTTAATGTTATGTATTTGGTGGGATTGCAAAGGTATTATCCATTACGAATTACTACGGCCTGGTCAAACGATTGATTCGAATCTGTACTGCCAACAATTATTGCGATTGAAAGAAGAAATTGAGAAAAAGAGACCGAAATTGATCGATAATAATCACGTTGTGTTTCATTATGACAGCACTAAGCCACACACATCTTTAATGACCCGTCAGAAATTGAGAGATCTTGGCTGGGAAGTTTTAATGCATCCACCATATAGTCCTGACATTGCACCGTCAGACTTTTATTTGTTCCGATCTCTGCAAAACTCTCTCTCAGGAATAAAATTGTCTTCGGAAGAGGATTGCGAAAAACACCTGCATCAGTATTTTAAAGATAAAACACCGGATTTCTACAGAGAGGGAATAATGGGTCTACCCAATAAATGGCAGAAGGTAGTGAGTAAAAATGGACAATATTTAGACTAATCGAAAATATCTTTAAAGTAAATTTTAAATAAAACAAAACAAATAAAACACTAATGGACTCAAAATTGATGTAAAATGTGATGTTAAAGAAAGAATATATGTGAAATATATAAATTGCTAAATTAAAGAAAGCTAACCAAAATTCCTAATATAAAAAACAATAACGTTTAACACACTGTAAAAAACTAAAACGTATTATGTTTTCTATGGATGTATAATTTTTATTAAATGAGATTTTAAGAGAATTTTGACTGAACATTGTAAAGATTTAAACATTGTAAATATATATGTATATATATGTAAATCATATAGTTAACTCCTATATATAAAACACAAAATAATTCTTTTATTTTAGATTAAAGCGAAGGGAATTAGAAGTTTTTTTTTATACGTGAAGTATTTTTTTTTGTACCCTGAAGAGAGCTACTGTTTTTTTCTCCCGTTAGGAGAGGGACGTTTGAACTCTATATATAGAATAGATTCTGCGATAGATGACATTTACACTGTCAAGTCCAAAATAAATAAAAATAGTGTTAGTATTTTTTCTCATAAATTAGGTCTTAGCATCTTTCTTCGGCAACCAAATTATTGTGTCTTTCAGGCAGAAATAATAACACAAATGGGTCTTATGCAAGAACATCCTCGATGTAAATATCGTAATTTTCTCGAACAGTCAAGCTGCTATTAAGTCTCTAGTAAGCACTACTGCTTCATCCTTAACAGTTCGAGAATGCCGAGTGTGTCACTGTTCAGCTCAGAGAAGTACCTGAATATGGTGATATCTCGGGTAACTGGCTAGTCACTCTGCTCCCTGACACTCATGTCTCGGAAATTGGAATCCCAGTTGCAACGACCAAGCCAGCAATTAAAAAAAACATCTAAGTATGGCTAAACAAACTTTGGCAAATAGTCCCACCTGTACTACGACATCAATTCTGATACATCTCATTGCTTTAACACTAGCTTCAGCCGGAGTCGTGTGGGTTTGTGGATGAAGAGGAAACTATAGCAAATGTAAGAGTACTGTATGTACTGATCAATATTTTTTTTTATATTTATTTATAATTGCATCTGCCTTACAGGAAATGGTAATAAGTAATTGGAAGAATTTTAGTATATAAGGATTATACATAAGATTAAATCAATATTTAACAAATACAATTTTTTCAATGAGTAAGTTAAGAACATATGTGTACTGATCAATTTAAGATTATCTTTTTTACGAAACGACTTAACTTTGTAGAGAAAAATTTTCTTGTTACAGCTGTTCTGTTAAATATTGATGCTTGAACATTGCTATTGATATGACACGCAATGGGATATATCAGAACTATAAAAGAAAATCTGTTTTGTATCTACTTTGCTGTCAAGAAAATTTTCTAGTCGCAGTTTTTCAGATGAGTATCGAAGTTTGTCCATTTATATTTCGATAATAAGTGCAGTGGAGATTAGGAATTCCAATTAGGAATTCAACCTTATGTGAAACCGCTTCGTGTTGTAGGAATGATTTATTTGTTGCAGTTATCCAGTTGAGTTTCAATCCTTAACCATTGGTGTTTCATTTTGCAGCGCGGAGAGCTGTTATAATTAATAAATATTTCCTTAGTCTTATAATTGTAATTCATTTGTTATTTTTAACTTAATGCTTTCATTTCCAAAAAAAAAATTTATTTCTATACAACAGCAATCTGAACTAAAATACAATTTCGATCAATTTGTTTCAAATACTGTTTTTTATTTAATAATTCTGTTTGTTTAAATTTATTTAATTATATTGTGTTTATTTTAAACATAATAATGAACATATATATCAATCAATCATTTAAATTGTTTATGTAAAATTGTTGCAAACATTATTTATTATATTTCGTTTTTTATACTTTGTTGTTATGCAAAAAGAAAAAGCACAAATACAAATACAAACTAACTTTAACAGGAAGCTTGAAAATTTACATATATGTATATAATAAAAGCAAACAACAATAATGCAAAATATATAGCATATAGGTAGTAATATTTTTAGTAATGAAAAATCTGCATATTTATATATTTGTGTATAATATTAATGTGTAATGAACTGAAAGCGTACAAAAAGAAATTAGAAATACGGCAAACGATCTTAAAGTAATTCCACTGTTTTTATATCATTTTATAAAATGTTAATTAATAAATATCCAACGTTTTTTTTTTTATTTTGTTTTTGTTTAAATTTAAAAATAAAATTATATTTACTAATTAATTAAAAAAGAAACCACCATTATATTTAAAAGTACCAAGACAAACACTAGTGCGAACTCATTTAGAGCTGACGAAAAAGAAATAACAATTATTTAAGAGCAAAATCCCCCTTTTGCTGCTCCTTTAATCCAACAAACTAAACAATTTATAAATGTGCAATTCATATGGAAACTAGCACGTTACACTTTATACAGTGAAATTATTTTAAATATTTAATATATACACAATTTCAGTGCTACAAAATGTAATGATGCTGAGTGCAAGTCTACATAAGAAGTGCACATTTTTGTTTACAATACTTGGTTTTTTTTTTTTTGAATAACAGTTGAATTACATTTGCGGTATTTCAAACTTGGCAGATTGCACTTTACAAACTTTTTACAAAAATTAAATCAAACTATTATTTTAAATAAATTTACAATTCTTACAAATGCTTAACAATAGGCAACAATAATTGATAGATAGAGTAAATACATAAAAATCATAAACTTTTACATCGAAATATCTAATAATGAAGAATAAAAATAACACATAAAGAACATAAATTAAAGACAAAATTAATAATAATAAACATTCAAAAAATTTACAATTGAACAGAACAGAAAAAAAATTATCAACAAAAGCAGCTGGTAAAGTTATAAAATTTTGTACAGGAATGTATGTATATATCATATATCTTTACAATTTAAATATAAATTTGATATAAATCTTTAATTTTGTTTTAATTCATTAGTTAAACTTTAACAAACTGTTTTTACTCGGTACTTTTGTATTTTTTTTTTTTTATTTAAATAAAATTCTATTTTGTTAGTTTAAATTTAAAATTCAATATTGCAACTTTTTCCAAATGTCCTAGTACTGTAGATTAGTATTTAATATGTATATATATATTTATATAATTGCATGTAATTATATTTATAAATTGTAACTCATAGTACCACAATAAATTTATTGGCTGTTTTTGTGGTCATTTTTAAATAATATTTGAATTATTTTTAAATTTTCTATATGTGTATGTATATATATTATGCATTATTATACCAATTTTGAAAAATTTTATTTAGTTTATTGTTTTATTTAGGATGCTTTTTTGAAAATTAATTATTTAATCGGTGAATTTACGATTGGTGTTGCGTCCAAACAATGCATTACGGATTTCTGGCACAAGTTGTTGTGAAATGAGGTCCAGTCTGGACTCCAGTGTATTAGGTACCTGTCAAGCAAAATTTAAATTATTATTAAAATGTTACCATAGCTTTTTATATATTATATTGTTCAACTAATATAAATAGTTTTAAAAAATAAGTTAATTTTAATAAAAATTATTAATTTTTTTAAACGCTTTCACTTTGTTATTACATCCATATAGTCTACTAGAGACCGTTAAAGAGTTGAGGTATTCGCCTCAGTGGTATCACATTGGTCCTTACCCTTTGCAAATCCCAATACTAAACTACAAAATTCAATGTTAATGCGAAATTTATTTTAAAAGTAAAGTAAATTTGAATTTAAAAGAAAAAAATATGTCCTTTTTTTTCATTCATATATCGTATTAACAGCCTAATATAGCTATAATAGGTGAATATTAACAAAATGAATGTATTATTTAATAGAACGAGAGGCAACGCTGTTGTATTATTAACATATTCTTTGCTCTACGCACAGATCCCAAAAGTACAGTAGGAGACTAATTAACAAAGTAATGTCGATAACTTTAAGTATATCTTGGTTAGACAAGGATCTTCAATCGCAGGAATAGTTAAAAATAAATATGATAATAATGACTTATATACGATAATTTCCTTTTAAGGATCTATTCTTATTTCACAGATATGGTTTTACATATCTCTGATAGGAACTCGACATTGTTTACATAAGATTTGATTAAGGCCGTTTGCGAGTTCGAGAAAATTGAGGGAAATAATAAATTATGTCGATATAACAGTGATGTTGGTATTTACCAGAATTTCGAGCAAGGTAAATTAGATAAAAGTAGGTAATTTAGGTGTTACCATTGTGAAAATGTTATAAGATGTTTAATAAATATAAATAAATTTGAAAATTTTTAATCAAAAATAATAAATAAATATTTATATAAGTGCATTGCAAAAAATGCCTAGGAAATTTCAGTTTACTTTATCTCAATTTACTCGAACTCGCACACGGCCTAAACAAAAATCATTTGCAAGAAAAAAAGTTTAAATAGCTAACTGATAGACTAAGGAAGTATATGAAGCAAGCTAATGTAATACAGGCTAACTGATATACTAAGGAAGTGGAAGCAGTAAGCTAAAGTAATACATAAGATATTGATAAAAAAAAAAAGCAAAACAATCAAACATTAAAGTAATCATTCGAAATTACATCAGTAAATACGCAATATGTCTTTCATAATACAGGGTCTAAAGTTAGCTTCTGTTTTAATATTACTGCATGAAATATCAAAATAGGAGCTATGTTTTTAAATAGAGAATACATTGAATAGAAAGTTAGTCACTGTGAAGAGTTGGTGTAAGAGGAGGCAGTTGTCAAAGACACAATCGTCAAAAAATGTATTAAAATTATTTAATATTTTGTAATAGTTTGTTGATGTTCAATTTTCATATAAAAATAAAATAATGTCTTATGTGACGTAAAAATCGGGCAATGAAAAATTGTGTTCGGGAAATATAGATTATGCCCAAAAAAATTGTATTTATTAAAATAAAAAAAAATATAGATAATCTAACTTATAGTTTGAAATTTCCCGAATATTATATATATATCCCGTTTATATATATTTATATATATATATATATATAAATTCATTTTGATTCATGTTTGCGCTGTAACTTACCTTGACGCGACCATTTAAAGCAATTAATTCAACACCGCCACATGTATCTGCCGGCAAATAATTGTCAGTAGCCACTGTGATATTAACATCTTGTTTGATGTTTTCGGTATATTGTTGAGTTGCATGGGGTAGTACCTCTTTAATTAAATCTAAATCATCTTCACGGCAGCGTAAAAGAACTTGTGGCTCCATAACCTGATACAATGCTTGTACAATTAGTTTT